AGTCGTCTCTTACGATACCCACGGGATGAACAGGGGTGGTGACACTCCGTATTCTTAATCCGTCACGACACGGAGGAGGATGAGAGAAGGTATATCTATTAGGTATGTAAAAGTTACATCATCGTACTTAAACAAGTTTTGAGCTCGAAAGTTATTAAAGTAAGGTTAGGGTCAACGACAACTATTGCAACTCGCTCGATGCCTAAGCAAAAAATAACAATAAAGCCAAAATTAACTATTGGTTTACAACGTGCTTCGCCTTGAACTGCATAGCGCTATATTGTACCAGTCGACATTTAACAATGTATAGAAACATTATGTTATGTGTTGTAGTTTTTGCTTATTTAAGTCCTTGCTGAATAGAAAGTTACCTGAACACAGGGTCCCCTTCCATCTTATTGGCTACTTTGTTTCTAAGTTCAAAAAGGCGGTCATAAAAAGACCCTTTTTAAAATTTATAGACAATGAATCGAGCCTGCTTAAATCTCTATTTAACAGTAGAAATACAGTCTGCAATTAAACGGAATAAGGTTGTCTCCATGTTAGAGATGAGATTGATATTTTTAATGTTTATGGTTTTTTCTTTCGACACTATACGCAATGTGGGTGAATGTTTGACTTTGACTTTACGAGTGCCATTGTTGCTTTTTAAATAATCAGCATCGAGCATGTGAGACCCCTGGAATTGCAAGGGTCCATAGGCTACGGGAATCACGCGCGCCATATGCTTGTTTACCTATGATTACTTCACTCTTTGTTTATTATACCACTGACGGCGCCACGTGGTATACAAAAGCTTCGAAGTCGCATTCCCGTTGTCTTTTAACTTTTTTTTTAAACGATCACTATTTCGTTATCTATAAACGTACGTGGAAATAAACCGAACCATTGCATAACAAAGTTTTAATTTAGTTTATTATCTTTCTGATGATTGTACAATAATTGTTAGTTTTTATAGAGCTGGGACGATATTTGTAGTTGTCATAAAATGTATCAAGTGGACGCACCCACTGACAAACAAATTACATCATTAGCCCGTGACCTTAAAGGTCAGTTTTCATACTGATAGTGTTAGACGTGTACGATATATGGTCAATAAAGGTGTTTGTCCCCAGATACTGACGTATATAGCATAAAAAATTACACAGAGGCGGGTAGGAACAGGTCGGAAAAGAATAGTTACTTCGGTGAAATAACTCTCAGGAAAAAACACACGATAATTTGTATAAGTCCATATGTTGATGGGTCACTCTTGTTGATCCTGCAGAGGTCACCGCCCTGTGAATTTAATTGGGACCAATAGGGACCACTCCAAACAAATCTCTTCTTCCACTGGCCTCGATATATGATATTTTCTTAAATTTCACTGAAAAGCTGTATTTACACACATAAAATTAAAAAAACAAAAGTGAAAACGACAAGGTGCTACGCCACGAGGAAGCCTCTTTTTGTCCATCACTTAGAAAGTAAATATATCTAAGTATTTAAACGTAAATCATATCTGGGTGCTAAATAGAGCATGTTAGAAAACTTTCATCAAGTATGAGATAGCATATCTGAGTAATATTTGTGGAACGACATTTGTGACAAATTTATGGATTTTATTAATTACTCTTTATGTAAAGGTGACGATAATTTCGAAGATTTGTTTAATATAAGTACTAAAATCGTTTTACTTGTTTTGGGTATTATACATTTTATTAGGGCTATTTTTAATTTATACTAACGAAAGCTTTGTCGTAAATGTTGTTTATCTTTAGTATAATTTTATAAAGAAATCGCAAGTTATTGTTGGGCAGTACAATTAAAGCACCATACCATAAGAAACACACAAGTTACTCGATTAAAATAATTCTTTTTTTTTTGTAATTATTCTTTACCGCAACAGAACTAATAATTCAACTCAAGTCTTCAATTACTGCTCGTTATAACCAGGAGCTTTAAATATAGATGTTTTCCATTCATTGAGACGTCGATTCGTGTCAATTGAGGTTATCGTTTACTTTGCAAGGATAGATTATTTAGGCAACTAACAAGTTTACAACGTCATCAATGCTATAGGTATGTTTTAAAATGTGTAATTGTAACTGACCTTAAAAACATTATCGCTTAAAAAAAGACTGTTAGATGATCATTATGTATACCACTAACATGACTATATGGGATTCTTTTAAGATTAATTATCAGCATATATCAGAATATAAGCATCATTTTAATTAGATACTTGCTGAAATGACTGATTAATTTAGCTATAAAGCTTATGACACCGTTGTCGGCAAGCGTCAGTTCTGTTAAGGCAGAGTCATCCGAAGAAACAGAGTGGCAAGGAAGCAGCGACTGAAGGTACAGCAGAAACACGGTGTCTGATCTGCCGTGTTTAGATTATATGCATATGCCTACATGATGTAACACTATCTGTTAGACTTTAATACTGGCATCGATAGAAAAGAAGGTAGCGAAAGTGGATAAAGTCGACAAAAATAGCGATTAGGACCCCATGGAGAAACCTCTACGGGAATGCAAGGTTAATATTATGGACAAGTTTGGGGACGCGCCAAGTCCGAGGTCAACTCGAATTACCTGAATTTAAATGATTAATCATATCATTGGCGCAGTGGTAATGTTACTAAGAAAAACAATCCAATATTCCACAGAAACATTAGTGTTTTAAATTGACAATTGAAAGGTGGCTGGAGAGTTATTTTGTCATAGGGCCTTTAAACGCATTAGTTAAAAAAGATTTCAAAGTCAAAAGAAATTCATTTTATTTTATCCAACGCTACCAAACACTGAACCTGTAATGTCCTTCAGAGCACTGCAGACATGGATTGCACGCTAGGAATTCGATCAATGCGAGTGACTAGTCGCTATAATTTACTTCCAGTTATGCAAGCCCAAGACAATGACCTACGTTAACAATTAAACCTCATTGTTAAGCGCTATTGGTTTGAACAGCGCTTTATATAAGAAAAATGTAGTATATGTACTAGATTGACGGTATCTACACGGAACTAAACTTTAACTTATGATCAATTTTTGGATACTTACTTTCATCATTTTTTTGATTAACGTCGTGCTGACAGATAAAAAAAAACAATAATTGACTACTATGTCATTTATATTATAGGTGCAGGAAGTCTTCGTTAGATAGAATTCCTTTTAATTTATCTTATTTCTAAACCTCTAAACATCTTTACAAATGCATACGTAAACTATTCAAGTGTATACATTGTTTATTTTACCCTATGATTTTATGTCAATTTTATATTAGACCATCGGTAAGACCAACCTAACCTATCTAATTAATTATAATTTGGAGAGATAAGTTTTGTAAAAAAAAAAACTGATGCTGTGCCAAAATATTCATTGTGTGTTCTTTTTTTCAATGTTATTATTATACCCATGTTCAATTGAGCATTATTCAGTGTTAGATGTGAGTACTATCATTATTCAGAAGTGAGTTTGTCAGTAAGAAATGAAATGCGTCAATTAAAATTATTATCGATGTATTTTCCTCTTATTTTTCATTTACCGTTTGATAACTGCGTAATAACTTTTACGCAGTAGACTCGCCCTTCCAATATTAAACCACCAATGGAACTATAAAAAATAGCAGAGTAATAAAATATAGGTTATGTAAGTCAAATCCTTTTTATTATCATAGGTATCAGAACCAAATATACATAACTTTATAAAAATTTAGAAAAAAAAATGCAATATGAGGCTTTCATTACTATCACTTTTGCTTCTAATTTCAAATCTTGCCAATTATACCAATAGCAATTGATTATGCAATCCATTATTGAGACAATCTTAAGCAAGTAACCAAAAACAGTTACTGTTTTGTAGAATATGTAATATCAAAGTTTTTAATTAATCAATTTTTTATTACTGATTTATAGAAAAATGTAGTTATGAGCATAAAAGTAAAACTTAATACATTTTATTGCTACATTAATTGTAACACAAACATCTTACATCTAAATTGATAAAAAAAAACATTAAAATTAAATGCAGCAGGCTGTCTTGTACCTTATTAATTGGATGTAAATCATTAAAGTTCAATTTTAATTATGTTTATATGAAAAATATTCTTCAGCAGAACATAAGAATTCATTAAAATTCTTAATGCATATTAACATAAAACAAAGACTGGCGATTTGCTCAATATAAATGTGTTTAATCAATTTAATTAGGTTAGTATACAATACTTTCATTCAACATTATTTCTTCGACACTTATAATTTGTAAACAGTGTTCAATGAATTATGAATAAAGACAGCTCCTCTATTTTGTTTAGGCGAGAATGCAAAATAACATCTCTGCTGCATATAGAGTAGCATAGATAAAATATTTATTAACTAAAAAAATGTCTTTTAATTTTTAAATCAAATCAAATCATTTTCTTTCTAAAAAAAAATGTTTGGGTGAGGTTCATAGACAAAACTACAGAAGTTAGCTAATAATGTAAATGCATTCCTACTTTCAAACATGATTAGAAATAAAGGAGGTTAAATATAAATCATTTTTACTAAGAAGAAAAATATATCATTGACTTTTAACAAAATAATGCATTACTTATCATTTTTAAATTTAATTCAGAGTACACAAAGATTTAATTGCATTATTTTACATAAATGTGGATAGATAATTTATGTTAGTAATTTGTTTTTAATATTCTATTCGACAAAGGTCACTTTTGATATAAATTACGTATTGCTCACTGGAACAGGTGTAAATATTATGTCAGTGCCAATTTATTTCTCGCTTTAATTAGAACTCCTTATCGGAAGATACTAGCTCAAAAAAAAATACTTTATGCTAATACTTCCACACTAATAGACAACAGAAATTCCAAACAATTCAATGTTACACTAAAAGCTATAAAAGCTATAGTGTATTAAAGCATTACATATTACATGCCTTCATAGTTTTATTTTATGATACGAATCATAACACTTACCTAAAATAAAATATCATGTAAAATATAGAAATTTATACTAATATGGAACATTAGAAAATAAGTAGGAAACAGATTCTCCATTGTGTGTGCGCCGCACGGCTTCTGCTACCATCATTGAAACATCAATACACTGAATTTTCGGGCACTCCTGCATGTGCCTCTCTTGTGGTATTGTGTTTGTAACAACGACAGCCTCTAAGCAAGCATTATTAATCCTTGAGATTGCAGGACCTGAGAAGATACCGTGTGTGAGTATTGCATAAACTTTTATTGCACCAGCTTCTATCAGTTTTTCAGCAGCATGACAGATCGTACCGCAGGTATCTGCCATGTCATCAACAAGGATAGCTGTACGGTCTTTGACATCACCAACAAGTACCATTGATGCAACTTCATTGGCCTTTTTCCGCTCTTTATGGATCAAAGCAAACTCAACATTAAGACGATCAGCAATTGATGTAACTCTCTTGGCTCCTCCTGCATCAGGCGACACCACAATACTAGTTTTCCAGTCAGGAATATTTTCTTTAATCCATTTTAACACTGCTGGTTCAGCGAAGAGGTTATCTACAGGAATGTCGAAAAATCCTTGGATTTGGGACGCATGGAGATCCATTGTTATAATGTGATCGGCGCCAGAGACCGACAGAATGTTTGCTACGAGTTTAGCAGTGATTGGTGCTCTACTCTTGTCTTTCTTGTCTTGACGGGCATAAGGGAAGCACGGGATGACCGCTGTCACTCGAGACGCCGACGCAATCTTACACGCATTAATCATAATAAGCAACTCCATCAGATTGTCGTTAATTTCACCGCTTCCACTCTGCACAATATAAACATCCTCACCACGTACAGATTCACCTATTTCCACGCATGTCTCCATGTTGCTGAACTTCTTGGTTACAACTTTCCCTAAATCGATGCCCAAACGATCGACGATTTTCTGGGCCAGGTCCGGGTGGGAGCTACCGCTAAACACTTTGATGTTCGGCATCCTGGTTGTTAGTGGTAAAGATAAGTGATCTAATTTATTTACTACTTCTTCTAGAGTTACGGTTGATTTCATCAGCACAGCACCACTATGACTTCCCGACCGTCAGTCGCGATTTATGTATGTGACAACAAAAGCGAGATGTACTATTTATGTGGGCTTAGCTTTGATAAGGAACAAGCGGCAACGTGGGAACGGCCGTGCCGTATCGTAAATACGCACCGCACTTGATCTGACCACACTTCACGCGTTCGCTTCGTCTCAAATCGCACGTTTTAGTTTTTTTTTATAAAAATTGATGTGCCCTGTCAAGAATGTCAAGAACATGACGCTATTAGTGTTACTTTAGCTAAAAATGTCATGGCTTAAAAAAACTATGCAGAGAAATGGATTTTATTTATGAATTTTTAAAGTAATTAACTATTCTCAATAAGTACAATTTTTGCCGTTTTGTTATTATAAGATTAGTTACATTTACATATTAATAATAAGTCGGAATTGTTCGGACTAATACAAAATACTAATACAAAATAAATTTTCATCCTCATTACCTGGATAGTTGGCGCTCTACTACTGTGCGCTTTTCGATACACTTTTTGTCCCACACAACCCATCTGTGGAACGGGTTATCGTCTGCGGTATTTCCGGACCGATACGACCTTCAAAACTTCAAGAAAGGAGCGTACTCCTTCTTAAAAGCCCGGCAATGCGTTACACTACTGAGTTGCAGACGTTCATGGGCGGCGATGGTCACTTTCCATCAGGTGACCCGTCTGCTCGTCTGCCCCCTCTAACATAAAAAAAACTACCAAAATACCTTTTATCACAGTTGTGAGATTGAAAGTTGATCTGTGACCGAACTTTTATTACGAGCTTTTTATTGTTATTTTATTTAAAACAGTGAATGTGTTAATCTGAAAAAATAACCAAGTAAAGCTATTTTTCTCGAGACCTTAGTTTTATATATCTATATAGTTTAAAAAAAGTAAGATATAGGTTCTTAACACGACTTTGGTGGTATGGATTGTGGTTTTTAACAAAATGACACTCGAAGATTTTTTTATCTATGACAATTTTAACTGTCATTTTTTTGATGGTTTGTTTTGTTATTGACACCTATTGACAGTTAGATTTAGCGCGAAGTTGTTGGATACTTGATAACATAATTTTATGTACTTATTAGTAGTTTAGTACAATTCGTACGTTTCAATCTGTAATGGGAATTTCTAGTTGAAGGTTTCTGTGGTTAAAAAAGTTCAAAATGGGTGACGGTGGCGAAAAAGTTAGTGTTGCAAAACAAAAACTGCTACGGTGTATGGATTGGCTTCAAAAACAGAATGAGGAGCCGACAAAAATATCATTGCAGAATAAGAATGATATTCAATTCATTATACAAACAAATGCGGCTAGAAAAAACTTTTTATTGGCGGCAGCAGAAGACGAGGCGACTGTGCCAACTGCCGTTAATGAACGTTCAATTGAACCTAAGGCCGTGGTAAGCAATTTATAATAGAAATTGACATTTAAATATTATATTATGGAGTTTCCCAATGTTGAGGTGTTTTTTTTCGTTCCATTTTTTTTACTGCAAAATTGCTTCATAACCGACTGACATATTTGAACCCAATAGACTGGTAGGAAAAATAATATATTCAATTATTATAATTTACAAGTATTATAATTTTTATTTAGTCATTACACAAGCTCCGAGTTGAAAACTTGAACATGGAATGTGAGTGGCAGTCATGTAGAACTTTCTTCACTGATTATGCAGCTTATCAAGATCATGTACGAAACCATGCATCTAATGTCCATGTTATTGAAACCGAGGGTGGTGGTAAGTATATTCATACTTTTATTAAACCCTCTTTCTCTAGTTTCTGATAAAATAATTGTATAGTAATAACACACGGTAGTCTGATCTCAAACAAAGCAGAGCCTATAGTAACCAGACTGCTGATAAACACACTAAAATATTTCTAAATACACACATATTATATATAAATAACACCCAGACCCAGAACACATGTTCATGCTCATCACACAATTATTTGTCCTGGGTGGGAATCAAACAAATAACTCTCAGCTTAGCAGTCAGGGCCACTAACCTCTAGCTCAACAGGCCAATCGTTGTGTAATATTCTAGTCAGTATGTAAAAATACCTTATCTAACCTAGTAAACTTTTAGCCAGCAATTGAGCAAAAGGACTTTTGATTGTAATGTCAGTAAAAAGTACTTTATTCAGAGCAAATTAAAAGTTAATATCTTTGATTTCAGAAATAGTAATAAATTTTACTGTAGGTACACTCAAATGCAAACTTACACTGAGATTAAACAGAAATTTATGCATGAATCACAATTTTTTTCTGCAACTCCCAACATAGCATTAAAGGAAATTGCTGGCATAGAAAACCCAAGTTGAATTATAAGTTGTTGTTTTATTAAATGTTATATGGATTATTTTTCAGTGCAATATGTGTGCCTTTGGGATGTATGCGGACATAAGACATCTGATTTCATCGAGATAGTTCGTCACTTGAACTACCACTCTTACCATGGCAAGCTACTTGCGATTGGGTTCAATGGCAGAGCTACATTAAAACTACCGAGGTGTAAAAAGGACTCTACTAAAAGGAACCAAATCCCAATTTTGAATAGTGATTATCAATGTATGTGGGTTGGGTGTGAAGAAAAATACAATTCAATACAGGTACATAGTTCTACTTACATCTATATTCACTCAGGCCTAGCTCACAGTTCCAATTACATTGAGAATATTTTGAAAATATTTTTTGAAAAGAACTCCATAATCAATACTGCTTCAGCTGCTACTTGTCCATGTGGTGACGGATTAAGAATATGGAGTGTCACCACCCCTATTCATCCCATGGGTGTCATAAGAGCCGACTAAGGGAAAAAACTATGCAGGAAAAGAGCACTGCAAAGAAGAGGAAAACTTGTCACAAACCTCATACCAACCCGTCTGGCCAGAGTGGTATAGTAGGCCAGAACATCCAGCAGTGGAATATTAAAGGCTGATGATGTGATGTTAATCAATACTGAAGGAAAACTAAATGTGTTGTTCTTATGTGTATTAAGCCTATAGAAAAAAGAGAGAAAGAGAAGGAAAAGCGCTCCATCAAGTGAACTTTGTAATGTTTTTATAATAATTTAAAATAGAGATTGATGAAGCCTTTTAAAAAGTACACAGAGAAAGTACCTAATATGCAACATGTTACGATAACATATTATATAAGAGATTTTTATGCTTATTTACAAAATTTCAGATGTTTCTTGATCATGTAAAACAACACACAAACTATGCAGAGCAATTAGTCTGTTCTTGGGCGGGTTGTGGCGCCACATTCAGTAAAAAGGTCATGTTGGTTGTGCATGTCAGATCACACACATCTGAGAGGCTGATAGCATGTTATCATTGTGGAAGTCACTTTGCCAATAATAGGAAGCTTTGCGATCATTTGAGGAGACAGGTTAGTGGTATTTCACTCTTTTTTTTTGTGTATACTGTACAATAATATAAATGTAAATATATAAATAGTTAGTAGTTACTCTCTTTATTTGTTGAGTGTGAATGTAAATGTGTGTTATCATTTCGTTCATTAAAATCACGGGTACTTGTATAACTGAGCAGGTATTTCGTTGGCCGTGTTTACTTTTTATCGACTTCAAAAACACAAAAGAGGAGGTTATCATTTCGTTCGTCTGTATTTTTTTTTTGTATGTGGACCGATTTTCTAAATTTATTTTCGATTATATTATAACCACCAGGATCTGATGATGGGATCCTAGAGATATCGAGGGAAACCCTCAAATTTTATAGCACGGACAATGTGTTTTAGCTTATTTTTCTAGCTTTGTAGGTATTTGCGTTTAGTAGTTGTTGCATGTTGCTGAGCTGATCATGGAAAGATCTTTAGGAGTTAGAAAATAACTCTTCCAAAAATCTAATCATGTATTGACCTCGTTTTATTCTTTCAAGATATTTGTTAGGTGCTTATGTGCATAAGAGAGTAATAAAGGACAGTACAAAACATTTAGACAGAAAAAAAATTTTTGTTATGTAATTATTTTTATGTTTGTTACCTCAAAACTTTCATTTGTATACGGATTTGGAAAATTCTTTTTTTATTTTAATCGAAAGGATAAACTCCCGAGGTGGTCCATTACCACCGAAATTAGTGCTCTTCGTCCATATTGTTTAACTTTTTTTTTAAAGGATTTATATCACTCCAGACTATTAAGTGCCCGTGAATCATCAAATACAGACAAAGTCGGGAGCGGGCACTAGTGTTTCACAAATAATATCGGCCTTTCCAGAACGTGGCGGCCAACTCCCCGTACGTGTGCGAGGTGTGCGGCAGCCGTTGCGCCAGCGAGTACCTGCTGGTGGAGCACACGCGCCAGCACGTGTCTACGTACGCGTGCTCGCTGTGCGACATGTCCGCCACGTCCCCCGCCGCGCTCGCGCACCACGTGCGCTACCGGCACCTCGCGCCGCACCACGCGCGCCTGCACGCCTGCCCGCACTGCACTTACAGGTACCACCTCCCTCTGGTGACCTCTCCCACTCGGTGAAGCACTTACAGGTACCAGCCCCCTCGGGTAACCTCTCCCGCTCGGTGAAAGGCGAGGCCGTGATATCACTCTGTTCGAGCCGATCCATATGTGAAGCATGGCTCGCCCACGGCCCTACATAAAAGTATCATTTATCCGTCCTCCATACACAAAAATTTATAAATATTTACTTTACTTGGATAATTGGCGCTCCACCACTATGTGCTTTTGAAGTCACTTTTTGCCTTTCACAACTTATTTTCGGAACTAGTTATCGTCTTCGGTATTTCCGGACTGCTCGACCTTCAACAAAAAAGCGACCCAAAAGGCCGGCAACGCGCTTGTAACTCCTGAGATTCAGCCATAAAAATAAAAATATGGCGCACGGAAGCATTTTACATTTACAATTCTTAATGTTTTTAGGTGTTACAAAGTTAAACGTTAAGTAAAACCGCCTACATAAAGCTATCCAGTATATATTTCGATCTGTCGTGATACAAAAGTCCATACAGTAACAATTCAAGTTATTCTGGACAATTAACTAAAACAAGACATTCGGGCGCCAGACGATTTTAGTAATTTACTTCTTACTGACTTATAAATCTTATTTAAACTTTCAGAGCTGTGACACAATGGGATCTTCGTCAACACATCCTTACTCACAAAAGAAAAAAGAAAGCTGATGATACAAAGGAATTTTCCGATGAGGATAATTCAGAATCGGAATCAAAGCCAAAGAAAAAAAAGTCGACTAGAATGTATGCCTGTCATATGTGTCCTGAGAAAAACATGAAGGTATTGTCTAGAGGATCCCGGTTGACAACACATTTAGTTAAAGTGCATGGTGCTCAGTGGTCGTTTGGACACAGCCGGTTCAGGTGAGATAGTTATATCATTTATACATTCTTTAAATCATACTCTTAATCTACTAGGGTTATAAACCATCAGAATTTACCTGGGTGGGCATCAAACCCATGCGCTGCGGTTCAGCAGTAATCACTTACCACTAGAAGGCAAGCTATCATTGATAATATTTTTTTTTAATGATATTGGGGGCAGACGTCACATGATGGAAAGTGACTATTGCCACCAATGAACGCCTTCAACTCATGAGTCACAAGCGCGTTGCCGTTGTCTGAAATCTGAATTATTATAATAATAATATTTTCGGATATCTGACACACAACGTCATCTAGTTTCCAACTAAGCACAGTTTGTACTGTGGATGCTAGATCGACGGATAGAATACTTATATACCAATTTCTTCCTAAATACATACATATTATACATAGAAAACGCCCAAACTCTAATAATAATAATAATATCTTTAATAATAATAATAATAATCTGAAACTAATATTTGTAGAAAATACAAACATTCGGTCCGACCCGGGAATCGAACCCGAGTCCTCAGCACAACAGTCGTATATGCTACCACTGCACCACCGAGGCAGACAAATTGACTCAAATTGAAATCCTTGAATTTTACCTTAAAGTCCATGTGTTCCCCTAATGTTAATAAATATTTTTTCTATAATTCTAGATATCAATTATGTGAGGATGGAATGTATCGATTAACGACTACTCGCTTTGAATCTCTAGAAGTTTCTGAAAAAATAGTCGACGGCTACACAGGACCCAAAGAATTGGTATCAAACTTCGAATTTAAGCTTAAACAAGTTGCCGAACCCACGGACACAACTCCTAGAAGGTATGAAATCACTCTGAAGAATCCTAAAGAAGAGAAAGAAAGTGATATTGATACTAAAGAAGTACAGTTAGAAGAGAAGAATGTAGAAATAACTATGTGTGATGTGGATGAGAAAGGGAATATTATTAGTTCTGAAGTGATTAAATCGGAGTTTTTGTATACATAGTATAGATGAGTGAACATAGATTTGAATATAAGATTTCAACCCAAAGCAAAAAATAGGCTTGCATATATTGAAGGAGACAAGGAAAAGAGCTCATTCTTGATTCATTTTGTATACTCTTAAAGCACACCAGTCATATATATTTAATATATCATCATCACCCTATCGCCATCCACTGCTGAACGAAGGCCCAGGGAGCGCCAACTATCCCGGACTTGGCAGTCCGCATCTATCCTATGACACCCACTTTTCTGAAGTTGTTGGTCTATTGTGCCCTTTTTTTTTCCGTGCGGAAATCCCCTCGGATACCACCTATCGGTGGCATGTCGGACTCGAACCGACTAAAACCGCACGCCGTCTCGGGTACTAATAGCCGGGGAACCAGGTATACCTTAGAAAGGAAGTCCCTGGTGCAAGGTCTATTGTGGGTACAATAGACCTTGCACCAGGGACTTCACTATACCACATTTCGACTCCAGCGACCATCACTCCCCTGAACACATGACCGACCCACTTCCACTTCATCGTACTGATTCTTCGTGTGATGTCGGTTAGTCTACTTCTCTGTCAAATAACTTCGTTACGAATATTGTGGGCTAGAGAAATACCCAGCATCGCTCGCTGAGCGACTTTAAACTGGTGGACCAGGCCATGTCTCGGCTCCATATGTCATTAAGGGTAGGCCCCACTGGTGAAGCGCCTTGGTTTTTAGGGATGGCTAGCTCTGCGACTCGAAGTTATGTACGTCATAACTTATTTACTTTATTTTACGAGTAAAATAACCGGTTTACAAAAAAAAAAATGGCGTTTTTATAACAAATTGTGAATTTTTGTTGTTAGGAACTGAACACTCTATTTAACGTAGCTTATTTATTCAGTTATTGCCGATTTTATAAGACGAGAGCTTCTTTATTTGTGCTTTTCTTTCTTTTGTACGTAAATCGGAAGTTATTTAGCCCGTTAGCAAAGATACAACAATTGACTCTACATTTCAGGCTACCGGGAATTCCAAGGCACCTTTTGTTTATGATAATTTTTCTTTTTTCTCTCCCCGAAAGTAGATAGTTAGAAATATACTTTATTTGTACACCAGGGTTTTTGTACAAATTATAGAATGCAACATTAACAGCAATAGTAATGTACACACGGCAAACGGCAATACCTAGTCAGTATTGGTATTGGTTGTGGGCTCCGGTTGCCACATTCAGACTCAAGATGGCCTTTTATGCGTCGAGGACAGGTTGGCTAGGTGAGCCAGCCAAGCTCCGTCCAGAAGCGCAGGAGCCTCCAGGGAAGTTCACAAGCTTCTAGAAGCGATTTTGTATCAAGAATAATACTTCCCCTTTGTGTGGCCACACCCTCGCATTCAGACATCCTCTGCAAAGAGGATACCTGGTCAGTAGTACGATGTACTAGTGATTTTGATGAATTCAAAGTAAAAAAATTGAACCCAAAAACCAGTGGTTTAGAAACAAGAATTATTTAAATATATAAGTGAAGAAACTAGGTATTACTTGTACTTTACACACATGTAAACGTATAATGATATACTTACTGAAATAACACACATTTAAACCTGACTAGATATTTCATTTGCCGTGAGTACAGTAATCGTTTAGAGCAATATCTTCCAGGCAACCTTAGGACAGACTGGAATCATTGTAAACTTGTTTTAATCGTAGGTGTATAAGGAAAAGTTTGTCAAATAAACACTTGATGTACACAAATTCAAATTCTTTTTTATTCGCTCTTTTCTTGAAGGAAGGAAGCCGATAACTTGTTCCACAGATTGGTAGTACGAGGCAAAAAGTGTCCTGGAAAGCGCACAGTGGTGGGACGCCAATTATCCAAGTGGTGGGGATGAAAATTTTGCCGTGTGGAACGATGGCTTAAGGCTGTGGCCGGTATTAGTCCGAACAATTCCTCGAAGCACTCTCTATTATATATACGATAGAGAATGCAGAGCGAAGCCACATTTCTACGTAACGCCAAGGGATCGAGCCGGTCGCAAATCTTTTGGCTATCGACGATTCGAATCGCTCTTCTTTGGATTCGAATTATATTCTTAATAGATAAGGTAATTATGTAAATACTTATGGTAAACTGACATTGCTACTCTATATACATATAAATTAAAATAAAATAAATAAACATCGTCAGGTGAAATATTTATATTTAGAATACATAGTTAAACAAATAAAAACATGGTGATGATAATAAAAATATTAGACTTATATTGTCTGTTCCATCATTTTACACTATTACAATTTCTGAAAACTCTCAATCAGTCTCTCAGCTTCCCTGAATCCAGATTCAATGGCTCCGTGGACGGCCGAGTGCTTGTGATGAGAAGTAGCTTCTCCCGCGAAACAAACAACAGGGAACCTGTTGCTGCGGTACAATGGCTCTGATAGAATGAGAGCAGAACCGCCGTTCTCTTCTAAAAGCGCTGTTCTGTGAGCGTAGGTGCCGCGTGTTAAAGGATTCTGTGCCCACTGTGTCCTGAAAGCACAAGAAGGTATTAATTGACATATTTCATTATTTTTTTTAATTAAGTGAAATAAGCTTCTATAGTCGAACTAGGCGAGGCTTGTATTTCGACTATTAGTATTTAGTGTGATTGTAAATTGATATAACGGGAGGAAGATGATCAACACCTCTTTTTGTGACCATGATATTCTACAACGCAATTATTAGGTTAGTGTTATAGCTAATACACGAATTTCTATGCATCCTATCACCAACCAATATTGCACATGGGACAATCATCATCATCATCAACAGCCTTTAATAGACCACTGCAGGACATAGGCCTTTCCTTAGAAAGGAGTTTTAGGCCTACTAAAACGCTGGCCAGATGAGTTGGTATAGGGTTTGCTTTAAGTTTTCCCTCTCTTTGCAGTGCTGTTGTCCTGTGTAGTTTACTCCCTTAATCGGCTCTTACGACACCCACGGGATGAAGAGGGGTGGTGACACTGTATTCTTAATCCGTCACCACAAAAATAGGACATAGAACACATAGCAGGAAATGGAAAATTTGGTGATTATTATTAAAATATTGAATAAAAATAGTGCCCGTGAGTATGTTTGCTCGATTATTTCTTTTAAGGCTCAACTATTTAGGAACCAGCACTTATACATTGATTTACATAACCACCTTTCAAACATACCTTTCTAAGGAGAGGCTTATGTCCAGCAGTTTACTATTAAAGTTGATGATGATTTATAGATTGATTTACCGTGGGAAGGCCATGTTTCGGCAAATATGGACCAGCTCGACTGGAGTGATTCCACGGCCTCACAGGCTCACCTCACTCAGTAAAAGTAAATAAAGAAATTGCTTTAATTGAGGGCTTGATCTTCGGTAACCGAGGTTAACCCCCCTCAATTCGCACTTGTGTTTTTTAAGTTCCATAACCACCAGGTGTCCATGGCGCCGGTAGTCACTTCCAACGACTAGACTGCTCGTTTGCCACTTATACAGTAAAAAAAACGTAGTTAGTATCATTTGTTTTAATTTTTTAAGATTATGCAATTGCTAATCAATTTACGAAATAATTTGAATTACAACAATATAGGTATACAATAACCCAACCATCACGAGAACTATAGACGCGCGATGTAAAGTTACTTGGGAGTTCAGCTTGTCTCCGCTAGATGACGCTGAAGTATGTTTTGTCGTAAGTGTATATCACCATTCCACTGTTAAATTCTTATATCGACGAACAGAGAACGTTCTGGTTTTATAACCAGGCATATTTAAGATCGTCTACCATGAAGTGAGAATTTACATTGTTGACCCACCATATTTGCATAAAATGTTTTACTACCAAGGCACGTAAAGTCTTACCTTATAATCTTCTTAATCGGGGCGACATCAAACTGCTTTTTCAAAACCGTATCGATCAACTTCTGAACGCCTGCTTTCACTTCTTCCTCGCTCACTTTCTCCATGAGTACAGCGCCATTGCCATAGATCCAGGCCAATAGTACATTAGGGTGATAATCAACTGAGAGCAAGCCGAATATTTCTGTTACCCATTTCTCTCCTGCTGAGAATTTGGCCTTATCTTCGTCTCGCCACAGTAATGGGAAATTGGCTGGAGATTTAGGCCACCAGGGTTTTTCGAATTCAATATATATTTTGTCCAAAATACACATTTCTAGGTTTTGTATCGATTTCACTTTCTCTACTGGTAATGGTGGGTTGAAGAGATTTGCATATCTGTAGTAAATAAAAGTTTATTATAAGAAAATGAATGAACGAGTTCATTTGAAGAATGACGTTTATTTTATTACTGTGTTTTAAGTATATATTATTTAAATCCTCACCTTTCTTTTAGAACCCCAACAGACAATGTAACAATAACACTCTTGGCTGCATACAAACTTCCATCCTTACAGCTGACCTGCACCAGCGGGTTGTCCAGCCCACGGTGGATCGTGTCCCACCTAATATTATCTACTTCTTTATTTAGATGGATCTGCAGTGGAATCTCTTTGGTCGGATCTGGGTATTTGTTCTAAAAAAAATATAATCAGATGAAATAATGGAATATTTCTTAAAAGCAGGGAATCATTCCTGTCTGTCCATCATTTCTGTTCAACTGAAGGAAAAAAGTCTACTGATGCCAACTGGGAACTTGGGTAACTAAAGATGGATTCTTGAGATTAGTTCGAAAGGAAAAAGCAATGAAAGTATGTATAAGAATGATATTCGGCTGGAGTGGTGACTATAAGCCGAGAAGAGAAGGTTGGAGTCACATACATTCAGCAGTCCAATCCTTCTTTTTCTTTTCTTGTGGCAATTCCCTCGTAGGGTATACTAAAAACCGCAGGAGAAACAGGTGGGTCCAGTCCAATCGTCCAGTCTATCGCCGTCCATTGCTTAACGTAGGCCCAAGAAGCACTAACTATAATCAAAGTAAATTTATTTTCCGTCGTACCATTAGGATTTCTAATATAGTCTTGAATCCTTTTCCCTTCCAGTTGAGCATGACATCTTTGTAACTGTTCCACCATTCTATGACTCCTCTTAACGACTTGCCTTTTTTGGGATCGTCCTGTCCGCCCAAATGATTGTCTCTTTCATAAAATTCCACGAAGGACCGCGACAATTTCGGATCCTTTTTAAGTATTTCGTTTGTGTGTTCTCTAAAAAACAAGAATTTTCTGTTTGAAAGGATAATATTTTTCTTCAGCAAAAAAAACAATGAAATATTCTTACTGCACATTTATTAAATACCGACGTTTTGGGAGTAATTTTTTATATCTGCCAATTACTAGGTAGGTGCCTACCGGGGTCCGTGTGGTGACGGATTAAGAATACAGAGTGTCACCACCCCTATTCATCCCGTGGGTGTCGTAAGAGCCGACTAAGGGAAAAAACTACGGAGAACAACAGCACTGCAGAGAGAAGGAAAACTTGACACAAACCCTATACCAACCCGTCTGGCCAGCGTGGTATAGTAGGCCATAACCTCCTTTCTAAGGAGAGGCTTATGTCCAGCAGTGGACTATTAAAGGCTGTTGATGTTGTTCGGTTCGTGAACATGCCTGTGTGAAGGAAGAAACTGATCCAAATATAATTCGTTAAGACAAAAAAAGATTACTCACGCCTGTCTCACGCATTCAGATATTGTCCGAGAGTTATATTTGTCTGCCTTTGCCACCTCATCATCTAATGCGGTCAGAATTTGTTCAGCTTTGTCTGCTGCTACGAGTTCCCCGTCAGAGAGCAAATAAAACGTATTCAGAGGTTCGGATCTACCGAGGAGGCCTAGTGGATTTGCCAGCTCAAATACTTCGTTGTCTTGGTCACCATGGCACCTGAAATCATCACGTACCGTAAACTACTTTTTTGTATGACAAAGTATGCTTTTCAAAGAGGAAAGGAGTCAAAGATTTTTGCTACAATCGCAACTGTCCAACCTAGTCATTTTATCCAATAAAACAGAAAACTTGTATTTTATTCCTGAGTAAGATCGCGAGAGAATTTCTTCAGGGTTTTGAGGGCAATTGATACCACTAGCAGTGCCAACGTTAGGTTAGGTTATTAGGAAAATTTTAGGAGGGGTCCGGATGTCTTAATAACAGCAGTTTCCGGATCCCTCCTATTACAGGCGCAGAATTGCACACCGTGTGGTTTTATCCGGTCCGATTCCGACACACCACCCCGCCGCAAGCCCCGGTGGGGGACGGCCCGAGGGGGTTGCCACACGTAAAAAAACTAGGTTATTAGGAAAACTTGTATTACTACTATATAGGAAAACTTATTTTTTATTCATGATAAGAATAGCGATAGAATTTCTTTGGAAGGGGTGGATGAGTGTCTGGAGTTTGAAAACAATTGATAGAGCTAGAGCTCTAGGCGCCAGGTAGGCGCGCCAAGTAGTAAAACAATTTCCAGAGATTAGTAAATTACTAATGGACTAATGGTGATTGTTGAGAGACACCTGTACTTGACCTTTATTACTAAATATTGTTTCATTATTATAAGACTATATATAAAAGTAATGACTATAAAAACGAGTAAGTGTCATTTGAATGTTTTAGGACCAGCTGGTTCGACTCCTTCACATATTATTCTAATTACCAGTAAATATAAATAGTATTCATGTTTGAATTAAAGGTTTTGTACATACTTTTACACTCATATACTCAAAGAACAAGTCTCACGCCTGTATCCTCAAAGACAGAGGTCTACCATTGTCTCCGTCAACCCCTTCGGCCGCCTTCGGGGTATAAAACGCCTATAATTTTAGACCAACTTATAGTCCGAGAGCTGGCATCAATTTTTGGGTAGGTATTTGCGTCAAGCTGAAAACTTGTCCTTTACCTCTTTTATTATATCCTAACACGGAACTACATACCTGATGAGTAGCAGATCTAAATCAACTCCTAAATGTTGCCAAAAATCTGTTTCAGACAATTTGAAATTTTAACAGGGTATTATTTATAATTAAAAAAAATATATATTAAAAAGGCAATAATAACATAAAGACAAGACATTTAGGGGGGGCTTTCTGTCTGCAAGGTGACAAAAAAAAAAATAGGTTCGAGTGAGTAGGGCTATAGGCAAGCTGTAGCGTGAGTGAGAGCGTTTATTAACAGCTGTCTGCGTACTCGCTCGCCGCGTTTCTACTTTCTCTGGCGAGGTCACGTGTATTACAAAGGGTGCGGTTCTGTCGTGGAATGAATTAGTTTCATTTTTGCACTCATAATATGTATAATGATTTTATCTAAATTGGATTTGTAGTTTTATATTTGTAATCATTACCTACTTTTTTAATACGTTAGTCTTCAGTAACTTTAATATATTTTTTATTCAATTTTCAGTTCAAATTTTGAGGTAAAATAAAGAAAGCAAACATGAAAAAAAATCAATTTCTTAAATTTTTGATGTAGCGGCAAAAATATTAGTCATCATCATCAGCCTATTGTTGTCCTCTGCTGAACGAAGGCCTCCCCATAGGAGCACTAAGCATCACGGTCTTGGGCAATCCGTATCCATCCGCTGCCAGTCATAAAAATATTAGTACTATAAAAAATATTTATTGAAACAAAAGTTGTTGATATGTATAGTAGGGCAAAACCTCCTTTCTAAGGAGGAGCCTATGTCCAGCAGTGGACTAGTAAAGGCTGTTGATGATGAAAAGTTGTTAAAAAATTAATTTTCTGAAGAAAAGTCTTGATTTCTTGAAAAAAAAACAAATCGAAAATTTGAATGATTCATTTTATTTTGAATTGTATTAAAATATACAAAAAAAAAACAACAATATTTATACACCGTTTTCAACACAATTACACAAAATGTTATATTGTTTACTATTACTAATATTTACTGTTACTAAAATTGAGGGGTAGATTTAGCCCCGCAACACACCAGCCAGGTCTGCAGTTCCGTGTTGGGTATAATAGAAGAGGTATAGGAGGTTCAGCTTGCCTCAAATACGTACCCAAAATTTGGTGCCAGCTCTCCTACTATAACGCACTTTAGGAATCAGATGGGAAAATTGGGAGAATATTAAAATGTAAGGAAGGTGTGTACATTTTTCCAAATATTGTACACATATATACAAAATAAAATTTCGTGTGGTGACGAATTAAGAACACGGAGTGTCATCACCCCTACTCATCCCGTGGGTGTCCTAAGAGACACCAAAACTTTTCTAAGGAGATACTATGTCCAGCAGAGGACTATTAAAGGCTGTCGATGATGATGATGACAAAATAAAATTTACTAAAGTGCAAGACAATTAGAGCAAGATTGTCTTTCAGCGCCCTAGGCCCAGGGCTGGTCCAGCACTGCGCAGCCGACTGGGACTCCGCCCAGCATACGCTGGAAGACTGCCTCGCGTGTGCGTCTGAACGCGAGGTCCTGGTCGACCAAATCGGACGAGACCTGTCCCCGCCAGCAATCATTGGTGCCATATTGGTGGCAGATTAACTGCTGCGGTAAGCGATGGCGGCCCGATCGCAAAATGCGATCCGTGGGCGGGGGGGAGGGCTGAAATAACACGGTGCGGGTCCTCCTCAGAGCAGGACGCCAGAGACCGGATCATACTCTGGATCATACCCGAGAAGCCGGAGATCTGAAGGGATTTTCCACCACGTCAACAAATAAACAAAAAAAAAGAAGGCCCAGGGCTGGCACTGCCCTTGAGATTGTTAAATATCCTAAAAACTTACCATGCCGCACCAATGTCGATGAACTTGTCACCGAATTCCACAGAACACACTCTCCCTCCGATTCTATCAGCTGCTTCTAACCCTAAGACTTTGAGACCAGCGTCGTGGAGTTTCCGCATCGCGGCTAACCCGGCCGCACCGCAGCCGATTACTATAACATCCATCATTCGCCTGGAAACAATACAATTTTTTCTCAATTTGATGTAGGTATAAGGTCCTTGTGGTGACGGATTAAGAATACGGAGTGTCACCACCCCCATTCATCTCGTGGGTGTCGTAAGAGGCGACTAAGGGAGCAAACTACGTAGGACAAAGGCACTGCAAAGAGAAGGAAAACTTGACACAAACCCTACACCAACCCGTCTTGCCAGCGTGATATAGTAGGCCAAAACCTTCTTTCTAAGAAGAGGCCTATGTCCAGCAGTGGACTGTTATAGGCTGTTGATGTGATGTATAAGGAACTACCTTAAACAAACTCTAATACAATTTAAAAAGGTTATAAAACAGATAACTTATAAATTTTGTGTTCTTTGATAACTCTGTATGTCCTTACATATATATATATTTGTACTGGTATAAATGCACAATGGAAATACAAAACACTAGGGAATCATTATTGTATATGAACCTACAAAAGATAAATGTCCGAATTGAACCGACAGACAGGAGGGCGTCTCACATCCCATCTCGTAAATATTATTTCGGATAATGTGACGGACGCTCCGGACAGTTCTCAGGGTCATGAACATAGATTAAATCTAAATAATACATACCTTAGTCAACAACAACGTTGCAACTCAAAATAATGAATTTAAATAATTTCGTTACACGTCCTTACACGTCCTCTCTCTATGACATGAACCTAAAGAATATCTAGTTTGTAGTATAATCGTCCATTACATAATCTTTAATAAAGATGACGCAATATTGGATCATTTTTGGTAAATATGGTGCAATAGAGGGGCCCGGCGCTTCGACATTTACTAAATTGGATTAGGCTATCTTTTGATTAAATTAAGAGACTGTTTTGTTTGTCAATAAACTGTTTTGTTTGTCAATAAATTTGTTTTTTTTTTCCATTTAATGTTCATAAAATCTTGGGTTATGAAGGTTTTGTGTGCGAATGCGGACTGGTCAAATTCAGTAAACAATTAGTTACTATGAAGCGGTATTGTTTCTTAATGCTCTGAAGTTCCATTCGGTGCGTTTCAACTTCAGAGCATTCGAATTTTTTATCCATTTGTATTTAAATAAGATAAAAAAATACGTATTTACAGAAAGATAAAAAATTCGAAGGCTATGGATTTGGTTAAAAGCAAGCTGAATGCGGTAACCACACTGCAACATAGGTAAGTTGCTTTTAAATAAATCTCTGACTAGTATCTTTAAAATCATTCTCACACTCCCTAATATTTCGTCCTTGACCATGGACGTATAAAAAAAGTCGGGCGGAACTCTCGCTAATACAAAACTGAGGCACTGTAATGGCGGCAGTGCGAATGAGTTTTGGGGCTGCCAAGTTACCCAAATTTATACCCTAACAACACAGACAATAAATAAAAATATTTTACTGTTTAATGTCCTAAAAGTATTTTTTTTATAATAATGTCTTTTACTTCGAGAGGTTCTTGAAATTTTCCCTAATTTCGAGATGTGGTGAAACGGAATAGTTAAATATGTTTCTGCTACATATCTAATAAGACTTATTTTATGTTCTATTCCGACGAAATTATGTTCAGATTCTTAGTTGAAAAATGCTTTCATTGCCAACAAACTTTTCTAGAATTATTGTGAGAATAAATTTGTTGTCTTTATTTTCACCATTGCAAATTCTAATTATTTAAAGCCAATCATTTCTCCATATTCCGTTTTCCTAGTAAAAAAATATGAAATAGTATACATAATAGTAACTATTAAATAAATAACCTTAATAAATTGATTTTAATAACAAACCAAAAAGTTCCTTTGTTTCGGGTAATTTGCACATGCGAATATTGGCAACACATGGCTCATAATGAATTCTTTTGTTCTAGCGAATGCTTATTAATTGTAATGTATAAAATCTGGAAATAAGTGATTGAAATATTCATTTAACTAAAAAACGTGATTCCTGAATTTTTCTTTCACGCAAAACATGTCGTAGTTTTATATTGGTGGTGGACACTATAAGGCGCTGTCCTCCACATTTTATACAATTCTGGAATAATTCGAACTAATTAATCCTATGGCGCAACGTAATGCGTCTCGCTGTCTTGATGTTTGCGAGCGTAATGGCCGACTAATGTGAGTAAGTGTGCGTACCGGCATGTACCTACAGCGAGCTGGCCGACTATGAGTGACACAGTTTTTGAAGTAAAACTTCTTTATGCACCCATGTCTTGGTTAGTAAGCTGGTGAATGCGTGACGAGAGCGAAAAGGGAGATATAGGTTAGTGAAGGTAGAAAGAGTGAGAGGTGCGAGCACACATATTTTTTCTCTCTTTCTTTCATAGGCACGAAGTTTTCTTCAGTCGTGTGGTCTTTAACACACTCGTTTTTTTTTTGTTAGCGAGACTGTCTGACTGCTTTTATACGTCCATGTCCCTAACGTAATATCATATAAATAATAAAAATGTATAACTATGTTTTAAAAATAATAAAATATGTACATATTTGCTATATAGACTGAAAATAAGTAAAAAATACCAACGTAATAAAAATAGTTTTAATTATAAAAAATCTATGCGTACAAAGATTAGCTCCGTATTATTAGAAAACTTACAATTTAAAAACACTTTTGTAGTGTGTAGTCAGAAGCGTGGCGGCTACATGAGGTCTGATAACTTTTGACAGTGCGAGCCTTAAGCTGCGTTTTCACGTTACGAGTAGGCTCGGACCGAGTGCGCTCGTACGAGCCTTCTCGTATAATAGGCCGTTTACACGCATAGCGAGCCTCGACAAGTGTCCATATTTTTATTATCTACAAAAAAACACAAAACTACAAAAAAAAAAATCTAGCCCTACTGCTCAACTACAATATTTGTAACATCAAATTGAGCAGTAGGGAACAAGTACGCGCCAACGTGTAAATACGTCGCAAACGCTTGCAAGCGGTGCAAGCTTCCTTTGATCTGTGTTCAAAAACCGACACTAGTACCGATCGACGACGAGCATACGCGAGCTGAGCCAAACACCCCGTTCACACGCTTTTGTATGTGGGCTAGATATTTTTTTTTTGTAGTTTAGTATTTTTTTGTAGTTAATAAAAATATGTCCACCTCTTCTATGTTTGCCTGTCCAAAACAATAGCACACTCGCAAGCGTGTAAATGGCATCCAAGCGTTTGTAAAGACTTGTGGCTTATGGACGTTTGCCAAGCCTCGGCGCGCATGTAAACTAGGCATAAGATTGCATTCGGATTGTAGTATACACGTTACGAGTTAAATAGCGCCCGAGTATCATTTTATCTCGTTGTTTGATTGTACTACATCCAATTTCAAGACGTCCGATGATGACGATCTTCTACTGCGAGGCATAGAAATAGTGGCAGATAGTAATAAGCAACTTGCGCCCTACATAACTGGTTGATTAAGACAGCCTTGCGTTCCTGGTACGTGGACCCAAGAATCAAGCTCCAATCATATAGCTGATCTTGTGAACTAGGTGAATGGTCATTATTTTCGGTCAGAATAGAACGAAGAATTAGTTTCAGACACTACTTCATGAGATAATGTGCCTTTACATAGCAAAGTAGCAGAATATTCTGAAATACCTGTGTTTTCGTATACTCTTATAAGTTCTTTTTTTTTAATTTATTTATTTACATAACTACACAATTAGTTAAATGCAGGTAAACCTTAAACCACTGAGGTTTATGCGGCATGCCACAACATGCAAAATCTATTAAGTACATAACAGTTAATAGCTTAATAACATAAGCAATTACCATAATAACATTACTTAGGAGTATTCAGTTTAGGGTAGAATATAAAAACATAATATTTACGAGCGGGCGGACACTTTAATTCCCGAACACACAAAGTAAAACAGGTAAACATCGAAAACAGTAAAACATTATTACAAAACTACAGCGAATAAACTACTAATATTATTTATTATTTAACTGTTATAAACCCTAAACACACGATAGAAATCTATCTGCAATTTTAAACCGTACCAATGATGGATTTTTTATTTTTAACGAAAGATCCTGTAGATTTTATTTTTAATAGTTCTTGCTATTCTAAATTTTATTGAATTTGTTGTTCACGTCTTGGTTTTGGCCTTTTTTGTTGACACCATTTTGTTTACATAAAATCATCCGGCGCACACGAAAAAATAGAACGGCACGAGTGCACACGGATGGCGTGTCTTTAGGATACGAGTAGCATCCGTAATCCATCAGTAATCATCCGAGCGCACTTGGTTCGAGCCCACTCGTAACGTGAAAACGTGGCTTATGGTCTCATCTTGGCAACATTTTACATGAAAATTACATGTTAACATTTTTTTTATTTATTTATATAAATTTTCAGACCTCTGGCATCAAAATTTGCGGCAGTCTCATACAAACTTTAATCCTCTAGTTTAAGGAGTTGAGGGGTAATAGTTAAAAGTTTTTCTTATTTGTGTACTAATACTAGCTAACATACCAAGTTTCAGCTTTCTAGGACTGCAGGACCCTAAGAATTTTGATGATCATCAGTGAGTCAGTGACGAAATCGTTTTTTTTTAGATATCAATAAAATCTAAAGTATAAGAGCTATGCAATTAAAACTTTTAATAAGTCCACTACTAACATCATATCCGAAGATTTTTGTTTATCTGGTATAATCCAAACTCAAGTTATGAGGGTTCATAAAACGACGAAACGCTTCTAGAAAAGCTAGGTAATGCGCTTGCGCTTGGCTTGGCTCGTCTTGGCTGGGGACACTACCGTGCCCCTAGATATTAATCAAATAGACATAACAGATGTAAATATAGGTAGTAATTAGATAAGCATCCTTTGAAGGATGGTCTAAATCGGTAACGATTACGATAGTGTTTTTTTTTTCGGGATTTCTGTTGTGCAAAATCTTCTGTTATGTATTCAGTCTATTTTTTTGAAGACATCACTTTGCATAGAAAGTACATAAGTAACATAATTGACAAATACATTAGTAACTCTTGCAATACAGTTATATAGACA